GAAAAGGCGAAGGTGCTTCATTGTACAATTAAAGAAAATTGCCTTGATTTCAATGCCAGTAATGGATGACTCCAAAATTTCAAAAAGAGATATGGCGTTCGGTTGCTCCAAGTTTCTGGGGAAAAACTRTCTTCACAGCCCCAGTTGGTCGATCCATTCAAAAAAGCTCTAAAGACRAAAATGGAAGAGCTTGGTTCAAGCCGGGAGCAAGTTTACAACGCCGACGAATCCGGTTTATTTTGGAAACTTTTATCACAAAAGATGTATGTATCATCATTAGGAAAAACAGCCACAGGAGCAAAGATGGAAAAGCAAAGAATAACATTCTTGTGCTGTTCAAATGCGGAAGGATCTCATCAACTCAAGCTCCTTGTGATAGGCAAGGCCAGAAACCCCCGTTGTTTTAAGGGGTTTGACTGCCCTGTTCATTATAGACATTCAAAGTCCGCTTGGATGACTGCCCCTATCTTCAAAGGTTGGTTCCATCGTTCATTCATACCTGAGGTAAGTTTTAACTCGTATTTCAGTAGCTTACAACTTATGTATGTGYGTTACAACTTATGTAGGTAACGAAATTTTTGACAAAAAAAGGTCTACCAGTTAAGGCTGTCCTTTTAATTGATAACGCTCCATCGCATCCACCTAAGAATAAACTTAAGAGTGAAGACGGCTCTATTTTAGCAATGTTTATGCCACTCAACGTCACCCCCCTTATACAACCCATGGACCAAAATGCGATCAGGATTACAAAACTTTATTACAGAAACAGTCTTTTGGCTTCCGCTGCTGTAACAGGATGTGACTTGCTAGAGTCTATGAAGCAAATTTCACTTAAGGACGCTATTATTACCCTTGAATCTGCATGGAAAAAAGTGGATGAGGCTGTGCTATCAAAATGCTGGAACAATGTTTTGAGTATGCTTGAAAATCAAGAAGATCCTGAAGATGAAATTCCTTTGAATATCCTTCGAAGGAACTTGAATATGAATGTGGGGGAATGTTGAGGAGAGCGCAGCCAATCTTTAACAAAACTTGAGACCTGAGGTTTGTTTTATCAGAAACGTAAACTCAAAAAGGTTGTATTTACTATTTATATTCACTGCAGATTGGAATCACTGCTTGCAACGTTAGAGAATGGAACGAGGATGCTATTGAATTCAATGAAAATGAAATACAAGAAATATCCGACGAAGACGACTATACTGTAGAGTCGCAAAAGACGATTACAGCAAGAGAAGCTATTGACATATTTAATAATGCTTTGGAATGGGCTGAAAGTGAAATGGTTGAACAAAAGGAATTAAATGTATTAAAGAATCTAAGGGAAAAAGCAGTTTTTAAGGTGGTTGAACAAAAGAAACAGCAAAAGAGGATTACCGATTTTTTTCCAAAATGAGCTTCAACTTTTTATAAAATTAAAATATTTATAATATGAAATTATATCTAAACTGTTTTGTTTACATGCAACATTGTTTTACTTGTGTAACGAAAAAAATTAATATTATTAAATGCAGTATGAGACGGCGCATTATCTCACTTTTTGATTCAATAAATTCAGACATACGAGTATGTAGAAACAATCGAAGAATTAAATTTTAGAGCCTCGCTACACGACGCGTATCTCAAATACTAATTAATATTTTGACGTGAAATTTAGCATAGATGTCTCTAACAATACTATATATTATAATATGTTTGATATTATGCCTATGTTAAGGTTTTTGTCAATATGTTTTTGTGGTATGCATCTTGAGAATTTACATTCATATAAGTATGTACGCCTATATGTGGTTTTATATTTTATTTTTGTGTTGCTTTTTTGCAAAAATTTAATATTTGCCTTCGCTTACCAATTTAAAGTTTCATAAGTCTGGACCGAGAATGAATCATTGTGCTGATTCTGACGTGACTGCTATCTGTCGTGATCCCAGCTTCCTGTTGCTAAGGGAGCTCCGCCAGCAACACTATTCTTTTGTATTTATTCCATCTACGCTGTGCGGCTTCTACGCAGTCTGGGTTGATTAAGCTTTCATGCTGTGTTAAGCATGCATAGTGGACGGTACGCTGATGGCGAGTTGGGGTATCTTTTTTCCTTACTGATTAGCACCAGCCGTTGCTTCTTCCAGCGCTCAGGGTATATTTCGGCGTCAAGGTAGGCGTTGTACATGATCCGCGCCGGGCGCTCTGCAGCGATTATTTTGAGGATTTCTGCTGGGATCTCGTCCGGTCCGGGTGATTTGTTGGCCTGGAGCTTGCCAGTGCCTAGTTGCAGATTTTCAAGCGTGCGAGTGTGTTCTGAATCACTAGTCCTTATTTCTTGTGAGAGGAATAGTGCGTTCACGATGTGATCCATTTTGGCAGCGGTTAAGTCACTTGGTTTTGCCCGAACGCTGAGTTTCTTTATTACTATTTTATACCCGAGTCTCCAGGGGTTTCTGTTTATATCCTCGCGTAGTTCTTCCCATTTCTTCTTTTTGCTGCCGTCGATGGCGCGCTTCAGCTCCTTTTTTGCTGCTTTGTATTGGTCAGCTTCTTTTGATTCGGCTGTTCTGCGACTGGATCTCGTGTAGAATCTGCGAAGGCGGAAGCATGTGCGCCTGAGTTGGGCGATATATTTAGTAAACCAGTAAACTGCTGCTTTAAGTTTGTTATGGGAAGCCTTGGGCATTGATTTTTGACAGTTTTTCTTCGAATTATGGGGAAGTTGCTAGATAGGTTCTGGTCGTATATTGCGGAGATTAAGTTCGAGGTATCTAGTTTTTTTTCTAGTTAGCGTTTGTTCCGATCATGAAAGAAATGTACTGATGATCTCTGCCAGTGTAATCCTCCAGAACTTTAAAATTCTTTATTGAGTCTGCCRTGCGTTCTATTTATATGGTAATGTCTGTTGTGGTTTCCTCGTATCCCGGTCTTCTAAACGTGGTTGCATTTTTCGTATTGAGCACTTTTAGACCTAGCCGGCAGCAATTTCTAGAATGCGCTTTCCTCTCGCGTCCGTTTTGTGTTTGGAATACTCGTACACGTACGAATATATTATCAAGCCGTTATATCGTATTTTATTACAAGTTTTATATCAGATAAAACTGTAGTTTAATCATACATATTCGCACTAAATTAAAAATAACATAATACGCTCACTCGGTACTCCATATGGTATGTTATGCAGGATGTATATATGTACATATGTTATGTTCTTCTTCCTATGCTCCAGCTGGCTACTTGTGGTGTTGTTTTGCTTGTATATATATAAGTTGTTTTACTAATAGCGTCCGTTTGCTTCGYTTGTGTTATTGTTTAGGTGCTTTTGCTTTTCGCGCCGATTTATGTTTTTTTGTGTTTGTAAAGTTTTGTATATTATGGTTTTGTAAGTTTATGTTTTTTTCACTTTCTGGGATTTTTTCTTCTTCTTTGCTACACTGTACTTGTTTTTTTGTCTTCTTGCACTGTATATTTATGTTTTTGCCTGCACCGGTTTTGTTTTGTATTAGTTTGTAGTTTGTCTTGCTTTTTAAACTTTTGTCAGCACGATTTTAACGTATATTTTATCCTGGAGGAAACCAATAGTGCCATTCGGAATGGCTTGAGCTGCCATGAATAAATTCCGCAATTCATCTGGGCATTCATCCCTTACTTACACTCGCGAAGATTTCAAATGAAAATGCGCGGGCAACCCGTTGTATAATTTGCTATACTTTTGTGGACATCTAAAATACAACAAAATCCCAAATATATCTAAATATAATCGGTACGGCGGAGTGCAGAGTTGTTAAATCGAGTTGAATGCTCATAGGAGCTGGGTCGAGATGAATGGTGTCATCGGATGTGGTGTATTGTGAAGTGTTTTCATTGTGTGCGCCAATATTTCCCGGGGTGAGTGTAGGGAGGCTTGGTTCATTTAAACAACTTGGAAAGAGGTTTACAATAGTTAGCTTTGGTTTTTTAAGATTTAAAAACCTTGGCGACAGAAAATAATCCGAAAATTTTAAGAAACAATTGACGRAAACGATAAAATATCAATTCTCAATAACACAAAGCATAAAACGAAAGAAATAAACTCAACTGACCTATAGCACAATTGAAGAAATTAAATGCGAGAAAATTTTTTTCGAGAATTTAATTTAAAACAAACGAGGTAATCAGCAAAAAAACTGAATTAAAAATTTTTAAATTACAAATTTTTAAATTATGCAATTTATAATAAAGTTGTACCTGTATGTTAATGAAAATGCCACCGCAATCCCAGGTTCCCTGCGCAACAACATATACAAATAAGAATATAAAGATAAAGCCAAAAACGAAAAGAGTGCGTTTGATTTGTTTTAATTTTAACATATCTTTTTTTTTACCATTTTTAATAATTGGCACCCGTTAAGAGTGTATGGGCTGTTTGCCTACATTCAAGTCCCTTTTGGCAAATGATGCAGGGGCACTTCTTTCCCGCGACGGAACGGCATGTTCACATTATAATTTTTCAGTTCACCATCATCATCTTTTTCACTGTTTTTGTTAGCTACCAAAGTACTCATCGCGAGTGCGACGACTGTTTATATTTATAACAAGAGATATTTCGTCTTGCCCTCGTTCACTGCCAGACCCATTTGCTTTGCTTCCCTATCTGGTCTGGAAAAAGCAGAACAAACGGCGTTGTTGTTGAGGTCTGGAAGGAGCTTTTGAAATTGCCCAATGTTAGTTTACAAGCTGTATTAATTTTGCGGGGATACTAAATTCAGGCATACCCGCACAAAGGCAGCTCTTTCTCGTGCTGTCAAATGCACCTTTGAAATCGAGGAAAAGATGGTGAATGTCGATTCCCTTTTCACGGGTCTTTTCCATGATTTGTCAGATAGTCTGTTGGTCTTCGGAAAATCCGATGCTTTAGGGAGCTTGAAATGCCGTTCCACAGTTCCCTTATACCGAGTTGTTGACGAGTGCGCTCAGAGACCAGGAGTGCCAGTCATTTGTTTGTTGGTTGTGATTGCAGCTTCTTGACGTCACGCTTGTGGTTGTTGACGTGCATTTTTTGCAGTACAGAGGCGGGTGCGTATTTTAGCTGCAACAAGATACTGGTCCGAGTCAATGTTATGAGAGATAGCTTGATACATTTTTATGTGCTGTAATATATTGCATATAACCATATTTCGGGCCGCGACGAAACAATCAGCCGCAATCCATTTGGATATGTTTCATCGTGAAGGCTGAATTTACAGACCGATGTGCCAAAGATACCTTCTTAGCCGACTCTGGCGTTAAAGTCGCAAAGTACAATTTTGATATCGTGGCGCTAACAGCTTTCATGGGTGCGCTCCAAGCACTAATAGAAGGTATTGAACACTTGGCAGCCAAAATTGCAGGCCAAACTACAAATCATTACTTATTAAATTCTAATTAAAGTATTTATAATTATAATTGACGGCGAATCGAATCGCTGAGTCATCGAAGTTTTCGCATATCATTTTTGAATTGTAGATCGAAGTAGAAGTGTTGACCCGGCGCACTGTACAGGAGAATGTGTATACAACGTATGTATTCGCTTTTTGTGAATTTCTTTTGTTGGTTGGGATGCGTAGTGTGGTATCATCGACTACGGTATTTTCCCATTTGCTCCCAGATGTGGTGATTACAGTGGTTAGTTAAACTTGTAACAAGTTTATTTTTATTTTTACTTTATTAATCACTATGTACATATGTATAAGTTGAAATCATTTAGTTAAATATCTAACACATACAATATATGTAATATAGTAATAATATCAGTGTCACTTCAAGTTTTAATCTCAATGTAATTAATTTAAAGGCATTTAACTTTATTATGATAAACATTTTCAAAAGTTAATATTCCAATTACTATTATAGATCGTGGGGGTCGCCATGCTAACTGCACCGCGGTATTGTTGTCGAAAACGAAGGTTGATAAGCGCAGTATGTCGAACGAATTGCTTATAACGAATTATGTCGAAAGGTGCCGACGCGGCGCAGGGAATAAGCGAATGTTGATGCGCGGGTTGTATTAATCGAATTGAGCGTAACAAAGTGCTTAGAACTTATATAATCCTATCCTCCTGTCCATCCTTTTTGTTTAGTGGTACAGGTGCGGTGAGTTGTGTTGTAGTAATCAGCTGTGGTGAATTGCGCTGTTGCATTAGGATGCGCCCGTCTTACCGGGTAGGGAGGGTGGATGCTTAACTCAATTAAACAGTGGTTTATATTAAGGTGTGCCCTTTTGGTGTCGGGTATAGTTGTATAGAAACCTAACTCATTTAAACATCCGGTGGAGAAGCCAAGGCGGAGAATACACTATGATGAGAT